TCCCCTCCCCCTGTGAACATCAGCAGTCTCTGCTCCTGTCTCTTATACACATCTAGATGTGTATAAGAGACAGGTGTGTGTGTGTGTGTGTGTCTCAAGAAAACCGCAAAAGAGGCCAGAGAAATAATTGGAGGAGAAGGTGGGTATCACAGATGGACGGGGCAATTTTAGACTCCCAGGAAGCGGGAAAACAGGCTGGAAAAGCGCAAGAGAAGAACAGGCAACAGAGGCCAGAAACAAAATGGAAGCAGAAGCAAGGGCAGAAAGGAAGCAGGAGGAGATGGAAAATATAGAAGAGAAATTATACACCTCGGAAGTGGGAAAATCGGCTGAAAGATTTCCAAGAGGAATGGCTGAGGCAGGGATGCATAACATGAATCCAAGGGATATCATTAAAAAGTAAGAAGTAAAAAAAAACGAACAGGAAAACAGATGATGAACTTGGGAGGGTCGGAGATTAGAACATCAGGCTAACTTGGCCAGGGTTGAGCGGTGGTATATCCTTCCCCAAAAAGGAAATAGTGAATGCCGCCTTCTCGGATCTCTCAACCAGAACGGGGAGAAGTGTTGGTGTGCGTACAAATTGTATTTGCTTTCGACTTGCCGGCAGAATAGGGACCAGACTGACACTCACCAGAATGGATACGAAGCCACAACCGTAAGGTTCTGTTTTTTTATCTTGGGATTTGGGATCTCAGCAGACCGGTTATAATACATACCACAGGCGGCAATCGCCGCTTCCGCCGTTGACCTTGCAAACCCCATCTCGACCAGCTGCTCACGCACAACGAGTGCCACAGGATCGAGATCTGCAAGAATCGCGACAGAATCAGAAACGACAAGGGCAACAACAACAATGAGGAGGATGGTGTATACCAACGTGCCTAGCTCAGTTGGTACACACTTGCAGTATTGAGATAGAGACCGGAGTTCAAGTCCCGGAGGAACTGGACGAATGGAATTCAATGAAATGAAATGAAATAGTTATGGAGTACCTGGGCCCGCTCAGTTCTTTTTTCTCTTTTTTTCTTTAATAACGGAATTAACCAGACAAATCAGTCCACCAACTAAGAGCGGCAAATGCACTTGTGAGTGTCCGATTATGTTTTTGCAAGTAATGACATACCTTTGTCCCTCCTTTTACGGATGATCCCGCCTCTCCCCTACTCACACGGTCTGCCGGCGTGGGGGAGTAGGTTTCAGCAGTGCTCTCGTAGAAACAAGGGCTGGGTGGAGGGAGAGAGGACTCTGTCATCTAGTCTTTGTTCACTTGGACATCTGGGAGATTGGGTGTGGAAGGGTTTTGAACATGCTGCTGCTGCTGCTGTTGCTGCTGCTGTGTGAATGAGTCTACTTAATTTCGACTTCAAAATTTTTTTGAATGTGGACCTTGCACAGTATCTCAGATTTTCAGGGAATGAATCAGGATTGTTTATTCACTCTATCTCAAAAGTCCCAAATTTGAAATCATTAAAAAAAAAATAAAAAATTGAAATGCTTAGTTGCGTATTCCAATGACGAAGAACGGATGTGATCAGAATCATCAGATACAAGTAATGGTCAAGATGCACCCTCCAAGCACTCTTTACATTGAGATTGATACACGAGTCAAAGATAATAACCTCATTGCACATATCCTAAATAATCACACACACACACACAATCAATCAACATGGGCAGCCTTGTACTTAAGAGGCACAGTAAAAGGGGATCTGCAAAATGGAAGAGGTACCCGAAGGATAACCAAAAAAATAGTCTAATTGTAAAATTGCTTTTAAATGTTGGACTGTCTCATCTCAAGTGCTCTCGTTGTCTGCAATCGGACAAAACTGCTTTGATTCTGAATCTAGTCATCTGGGTGGAATTGGGGCTGTTATGGGGAAAATGTAACACACACACACACACACACACACACACACACACACACACATATCACTGCGATCGTTCTGCGGCATGTGTGTGCAATGTGCATCCTTTTTTTTTTCCTTTGCGACTCAGAATACTCATGTTACTCAGAATGCGCGTTTTGTAGACCAGTTGCGCTCTGGTCTGGCTCCGTCCCTGTCAGGACGCAAAACCTTTTCCCTGCCTCACAACACCACCTACATACCACTCACTGAGCGAACAATCGCTTGGGACCGATTGGCATCAGCTGGAACCAGGACCAGATAATAAAATGATTCAACTTATCAGAAAGAAAGGTAAAACTTAAAACTTAAAAAAAACTACATTTGATCGTCTTGAGGCAAAGGCCAAGAAATATACATTACTCGCGCTTTTGGCTTAAAATACGTCAAGTGTAGTATCTGTTTTAATCATTGTAATCATTTTAATATATGATCCGTGGTCCACTGGACCACGTTAAAAGGGGGGGAGGAGGAGGGGGGGGGGGGGGCGGAGGTGAAGTGAAGAACAAAAGGTTGAGAAAGGCAATGTGTCAAGGATGGACCACAGACCACATAGTCGGTGAAACTTCACGACTTCCTGTCACAGAATCCCCATGGCATTTCTTGTCCTTTTCTCCCTTTCTGCCTACGCCTAACCGAGCAGTTCTTATGATGATAATACACGATACAGTACATATACATATAAAATCGTCACGCCTCCTATTCTCAACCATAGCAAGCTTTCTCACTGCATCAAATAAAACCCTGAGCCGTGAACCCTAAACCACATAAACCCTAAACTCTGGACCACCACATAAACCTTCAACCCCAAACACTGAACCACAATATGAGCCTGAAACCTAAACGATGATATATTAGACCCTAGAGCCTGAACCGCCACATAAACCTTAAACCCTAAACCCTGAGAAACCATAAACCCAAAACAATAATCGCTGAACCACAACCTGAACCGGAAACCCTAAATGAACCACCACATAAACCCTAAACCTTGAACCCTGAACCACCACATTGTCCCCTCGACCTTGAAGCCTAAGCCGCCACATAAATTATAAACTCTAAGCCCTGAACCACCACACAAAACCCCTAAACCCTAAACCCTGGACCACCACACAAACCCTAAACCCTAAACCCTGAACCACCACATCAACCCTAAACCAACCACATAAACCCTAAATCCTGAACCCTATAAACCAAGGATTTCTAACCAAGAATACTTGGCAGCTGGCCTTCCACTTACAAATCATGTCAGAGCTGCACAGAAACCAATTTCATGTGATGTAAATTAGACTTGGAGACAAATTAAATAGAAAGTAGAGTTAAAAATAAAAAAGTTGATAACAAAGGAGGAAAAAGGTCTGCAATACACGCTGAACAAAGATCAGTGTCGCTGAAAAGAAGGGCTGCAGAGATTCCATTGGCACAGACCAGCGGATGCTGAACAAATGTCACTACCGCTTCAACGTTGCTGCAGTCGATGCCCGAACGCTCTGCACCCTGATCATCAATGTATACAAGCTGTCATTCTGGTTCAGAACAGTCAAGATGAGTGCGCAATTATTGCCAGGGGAAGCAAGGCAGTGTAATATCAGCCTCAGTTCACCATCGTGGCTGACAATCATAGTGCCGTATTCAGGCCAAGATCGCTTTCCTCCCACGGGCCCGACATTCCACAAACACGGATTAAACCGCCAGCACCCCGCCCGGGAAAACTTCACAGTCGAAATTGCCGCAATCCGGGCTCTTCAGATGGCTGACGGCGTCAGTCCAAAAAAGAAAAAACGAAAAAGAAAAACACTGCCGCGGTGGTTCGTTTTTTCTTGACTCGCCGGGGAAATCCACCTCGAGCAAAAAGAGAGGCTCGCAGGTAACGGTGGGTTGCAAGATACTGACCATAGATAGCGAAGATCTAAGGTCACCAACATCTCTCCAATCCATGCCAGTGTGATCTCCGCCCATCAGCCAACATTGGTTTGCGGCCTAGGGCGGCGGAGCCTCCACTACCGCCGCCTTTGCCCGAGCACAACGCACCCTCATCATGAATGCATTGGACCTGAAAAAAGAAGTAGCTCGTATACGTTCAAGATCCAGTCACTGGGCTGTAGTGGTTAAGAGACTTGGCTCTTGAGGCCGAGGTCGCCGGTTCGAATCCGTGCATTAGGCCGGCCCAAATGTACCGATCTATAACTACTGCGATGGGACCCCAACCTTTCGTCAACCCCCAATCGGATCTAAAAATGCAGTTGAACGGGTCGATGATGATGCGGGTAGGATCAGCGGGTGTGTTATGCTCGGAGGAAGACGATAGCATGGATTAACCACAACTGTGTGTGTCGATAACGTAAAGATAAAAGGAAAGGTCGGGTCCGAATCTATTATTCTGTGGTAGGCTAATGGCGAAATTTTGCCGCCCTTCAGGGCCTGGGTTGCTGCGGGTAACAACCCCCTACTAGCACAGACTGACCAATAGCGACCGTACATAACGCTACGATCAAAGGTAGGTCAGTGCTTCTTACACCGTGCTCATATAATTTTGGACCCATAAAAAATAAATAAAAAAGAAAAGAAAAGAAAAAAGAAAAAAGAATCTTGGACCCAGGGGTCAGGGTTAGAGTGCAACTCAAGAAAAGTCTGAAAAGACGAGAGAGAGAGTTGGAACACTGGATGCTGCTCGTACCACCTCCCCTAGTAGGCATCCCACGTTTAAAATAAAATAAAAAATAAATAAAAAATAAAAAAGAAGAAGAAGAAGAAGTTGAACACCGGATGAATGGAACGTGGAACTGGAGCGAGGAGTGGAACTCGAGAAAATGATTTGGAAATGATTCCGCATAGGATGGGCCCAGTCAATTGCGGTGCAATATCTCAAAAGTTTAAAACTAGCCCTTTAAAGTGCTAGTGCACGCCATCCATCGGCTGCGGACCTCTTTCGGAGAGCCGAAACGCGACTCCGGCCACCAATGTGTTTTATCAATGGTCTGCAGGCCCTGACGTTTCCGGAGTAGGTGACGAATAATTTCTCCACAGCGCTGGGGCCATGAACTACCCGTTTAAAGGGGGGGGGAAAGAAAGAAGGGCAAGGGTATGGGGTTCAGCATTCAGGGATTAGGATTTAGGGGTTAGGGTTTTTGCAAGGGTTTGCAGTTTAGGGTTTAGGATTTAGGGTTTACAGGAGCAGTTCTCCTCCTCACCTTCATCTTGCCCGTCCATGACGTGACAACTTTTTGCTGTTGACATCAACAAAGCTGAACCCTTGTTGGTATGGCCTTGATCTTTTTTGGCGAAGTCACTTGCGCACGGTATACAGCCCAATGGAATTTGGAGGAGCTGCCGTAAATAACATAATTACATGGAATGATCGAACATCAAAAAAAAAAAAAAAAAAAAAAAACACACTCAATTTGCTTGACATTTGATGATTTGAAGCATAGAATTGAATTCCTTTCGAGAGAAACACCGCTTATTTTTTGGACCAGATTCACACATTTTTCAAGCAAAGCCAATCGCTTGCCGGGATTTAAAATCATTAATAATCATTAATTAATGCAATCCAAGGGGGGGGGAGGGGGGAGGGGGGGGGGAAGGAAGATAAGCCCAAAACAGGTCAAGGGGGATGAATTTCAAGCTTCCATATCGTCCATTAAAATTTGCTCATTTAAAAACTTGAAACGAACTCCCAACTAGCAACAAAATTTCCCAAAATTAAAATTTGGGTAACAAGACCAACTCTAATGAGTATAGGCCAGGCAGCTCTTTCGGACTATAGTTCAGCCTCCTGATCGGTGAGTGCAACGAAACAGGATGAAACTCCAACGAAACAGGACAAGAATAGACATATCGTCAAATATATATCGACTGATAATACACACATCTAATATCTATATAATCATAGAGAACTGACGATAGTTCAGCCTCCTGATCAGTTGGCGAAACTCCGACCAAACAGGACAAGAATATACATATCGTCATATATTGTCACAAGAATAACAAGAATATCAGAGCGCAAAAGCGAAAAGAAAAGAAAAAGAAAGAAAACAAGTGAAAAATGAATTCGTTTTTTTAATCTTCTTCCTTACAACTCCCCCTGTTCATAAAGAACCTCTTTTGCGTACAAGGCCACCCACGTGGATGTAGGTTGAGCAGCGGCTGCCCCCACCCCCGTGTGTCATATCGCACCCACTTGCACACCAGCCAAAGGGCAAAGAGGCAAAGAAAAGAGGAAGGGAGGGGGGAACAGCGATATACAACAAAACAGGGGGCAATAAGCAATATCACCAAAAACGGATCCTAGATGACAAGTCCCACATGCAAGCACTGCCCCTCCCTCCTTCACAGGCCAAACGACGGGACAAGACCACCCAGGACAAAACACTCTTGTCTGCAAAAAGCGAAATCCCAGATACATATATATATACAGCAGATGGCCTGGTTCGGCATCAAGAAGTTGGCATTCCTATGACCATTCTTACTGGGACAAAAAAAACATAAAAGACAATCCCAGATGATGATTCCCACATAAAAGCGCCGCCCCCTCACACAGGCCGAACAACGGGAAGCAACCAACTAGGATGCCAAGACGATAAAAGAAAAAAAGCACCGCTACGCCCGCCGTGAAATAGACGGAACAACAAACGGTGGACAAAACCAACCGGGATGCAGACAAGGTTACCACACCACAACAATTCTACCATATCCATGTTAAAAAAAAACGAAACCATACAGTAGGTCCGCAAAACGAAATACCCCCTAAATGGGGAAGAGCAACACAAGAAAATGAGGAAAATATTTTCTATATATATCGTATATAACACCTACTCAAAGCCTTCTATATCTGTGTGCTGTCAATAGCAATAGCAAGGTGAACGAATGTTCAGGCCATTGCACACCTTATACAGACTGACGAAGATTTCAACATTTTAATACGAATTGCATTTCTCCCCACCAATAGAAAGGAGCCACCCTCGAAAAAAAAAAAAAAAAAAAAGAGGGGCCACCCTCACCATGGGGCTGATATCCGGGAGTGCTCATATCACCGTGGATACCATCCCTGGGGCACGAGGGGCTCGAGTCTTTTCAATAATAATAATTAAATTATTATTTCTATAAAAAATTTCCGACAGCAACACCAAACTGCGTTTCGTTCCTTGCTTCTGACGGTATTGAAACGTTTCAAAATATATATATATATATATATATATCGTCACATATATATATATATATTTTGGGGGGGGGATAGACATCTTTCTTCAGGAGAGAAATAACTCGACTTCCCTCCCGTTTCCCCCACTAGAATGTGCAGTCAGTATCGCTGTATCTAGACGGAAAGTTGTCCCAAATGCACAGCTATAATGACAGTGCGCTCTATTCGGGGGAAAAAACACAATAGGGGCAAACGTCCACGTAGCTGGACTCCTCACTCCTGCCCGTCTATTTTCATAATTTACTGTCAGAGACGAGCAATCGGGATCGGGGTCAGAGGTCGCCATCTCCCTCCCTTACCCCCCCCCCCCCTCTTCTTGCC